AGCTTGTCAAATGGGCAGGCCAGCGAAGCTCCGCAGGATATCGGAGATCAGGTATGCGCTCCCTCACACAACTAAGGTTGCGCTCTCAAAATTCATCGAGTTGGCTCAACAGGGCGAGCTACCATATGCATGTTCGACGAAGGACATTCGTGCAGCCAGGGACATGCAAGCCCTCCAAAACACAATGTATGGACCTGTCATGTGCACAATACAGCTAACTACCAAAAAGGGAAGGCCTTGGATGTCGAGATAGCAGATCCAGTGCCATACTTGCACGCACTAGGAAAATGTATCAGGTGGCGTTGTTTCCTCGAGAAAGCGCGCGCAAAGGCGCCTTGTTCGTTGCAATCACCATGGAACATCATTGTTTACAGCGACGAGGCCAAACCTGGTAATAAGCTCAAACAGTGGAATAAGAGGGCCACGCAAAATCTGTACATGTCGTTTCTTGAGCTGGGCGCGGCAGTCCTTTGCAAAGAGGACGCTTGGCTCTGCGTCGGCTGCGTCAGAACCGTGGGCATCCAGGACTGCGAGGCTGGGATGGCGCAGCTCATGGGTGCAGTCTTACTTCGTATGTTCAATCCAGATGGCCACGATTTGGAGCATGCTGGCGCAAACGTGGACTACGGTGACGGGAGCGGGTTCAGGCTGCACGCGGTGTTCAGCATCATGCTGGGCGATGAGTCAGCGCTCCACAGCGTTTGGCTCTGCAAAGGGAGCGGGGGGACGAAATGCTGCCTGCGCTGCTGCAACATCGTCAACAAGAGCTGGCTTGCTGCTGGTGAGCTCGAGGGGGCTGCCCATCTCACAGATTACCCCAAGGTCTTTTCTCTTCGAGAATGCGAGCCTACAACAAAGGCCATGATGCTGCACATAATCGACGACCTTGCCATGTCTAAGCCTGCAATGAAAAAGGGGCTGTTCGAAGATAAAGAACAGCGCCGTGGTTGGGCGCATTCTGGCTTCAATATGTTGCACAATCGTAAGCTGAGGGAAGTCCTGGACCCGCCGCTGCAAAACGTTTACGATTGGGTGCACAATCTGCAACAGGGCATATTTCAACAAACACTATTTCTGGCCTTATGGGCGATTAGCTTCTCTGGCTTCAAACCGTCGCACGTCCTTAAATTCATGGAGTCTTCCACGTGGCCGAGGCGAATATCAAGCAAGGGCGTCACAGGCATTGACATGTGGAAACAAAAGCGGGCCGACTCTAATTTGAAGAAGGCGTATTGGAGTTGCAGCGCTTCCGAGGCGCTGAGCATGCATCTCCCGATAGCACATTTCTTCAGAACCAGGATCCTTCCCAGTGGGTTGCACAATGATGAATGCGAGGCGATTATCACATGTTGTACGCTCGTACAATTCCATTGGAGTACGGCTAAATTGGGCATTTCAAGCGAGGCAATTGCGCGGGCCACTGAGAATTTCCTTCGAGCCTCTGAAAAGGCTTTCGGCACAGACGGGGCGTTGTGGAAACACCATGCGATCTTGCACCATTCAGCCTACGTGGCGAAGTGGGGGTGGTCGCCCCACACGCTGCCGCTAGAGCGCAAAAATAAATCAGTGCTCAAATTTGGAGAAGACCATCAGAAAGACACAAAGGCCGTGATCCGAGAAGTTGTGGCAGGGAGTTTTTTCAACTTGCACGACGCACCTTGGCTAGACCTTGCTGTAGGATTGGTAGCGCCGACTGCGCCGAATAAGAAGTTGTGCAAGTTTTTAACAGACGTGTTCAGAGCAACAGACCACCAAGCATCTGGCAAAGCCAGGTTTAACGAATTCGATGTTGCATGGGTTCGTGATTTCGTGGCTCTCAGATCCACTGCGGGTTGGATCGTTGCTCGGGTGATTTTCTTTGCGTCGACGAATTCTGTGCCGTACGCTGCAGTTCAGCCTTTCAGGTGCCTGACAGAAAAGCCTTGGCACAGCACGTGGACAAAGTCAGGTGAGCCTATGTTTGCGGACTTGGTTGGTTTGATTGAAGTGTTGACCGTTTGTGGCAACGACGCTGTCTTAACTGTACTTCATCCCCTGGCGCTGGTGGAGTAAAGCATAGCACAAAAACTAAGGTCCTCCTCCCCCACCACCTGGGAGTGGATTAGCCCCCCCCCTTTTCAGGTATTCCCCCCCTCCATCCTCTGTCGAAACGTGTGAGGGGAGTGCCGAAATTATATGCTGGGACGCATATGAACATGCACACTTGGGCCTTCCGTGGAGCTACCTATGTGGCAACGAAACGTGTGAGGATGTGCCGAAATGAAAAGCGTCTGCTCCGTTCCTCCTCTCCCCTCCCCCTGTCCCCCCTAAGACCCCCGACACAGATCACGGCTAGCGTCAACTCCGCCGCCCCACTTTTATCGCCAGGGGCCCAGGCCTTGTGATCCCTCGTACGATACGATAGGTCGCCGTTTTAGGCGGCAGCCCGATCCATTTTGACCGCGCCTCGGCGGCCACGCGTGGTGGGTCTGGCGAATTTTTCGGCGATCATAGCTTCGATTTGTATTTTAGTGGGGGGTCGACGTGACCCGCCGCAGCCTGGAATTCGTTACGCGTCCAACCTCGTAGCATTATTTCTCCCCCATGAACACAAAAAAATGCTCCGCTGGAGTTACTAACTTGATTAGGGGGTTAGCTAACCTACTTAGCGGGGCTTAGCTAACCCGTTCAACCCCACAGGCGGATTTAGCTAACCCTTGGTAACGCGATAGTAAACGCACTAGCAACCCGATGTAAATTGATTAGCTATCACGGCTAGGAAGGTTTAGCGAACAAGTTATCAAATATGTAGCAACCCGCTGTAAGAGAGCGTAAAGTGTGCAACCGCTTGTAAGGCTTACCAAGCCGGCCTCCCTTCCAAGGGGAGAGGGGCTCGAACCGGTAGTGACCCCCCCCGGTTTTCCGCCAGCAGCGGTAGAACACGCTCTTTCTCATCATGTTCGGATGCAACTCCTGGGAGGTCAAATTCTGATTTTGCCCTGGTCCGAAATCCGGCTTAATCCGGCTTAATCCCGCTTAATCCGGCCTAATGCGGCTTAATCCCGCTTAGTTCGGCTTAGTCCTGCTTAGTCCGAGGCCCACTCTGGCGTAACAGCTCCCAAATGGGGCTTAATCTTCTTTAATTCTTCCGACGAAAACCTCCCAGTAGTTGCCTCCTAGCTCATAATGAATCTGGGTCCAGAAGGCCTTTCCGAACGGTCCGTGCCCGATATGTGGCAAACCGCACACTCCCACCAAGGAGACGCAAGACTCGGGTTTCGGGGGACTCGGGTTAAGTCGGGCCTGTCCCCCTTCAGGGAGATCTTGGACGACAAATCGAAACATACCCAAAAATACCCCCACATGGCCCCCCCCAAAAATAATCAAACATCGTCCCCAGACTATCTTTTGACTATTTTTGATTATTCCCGACGAACAATTCAAAAGTACACAAAAAATGCAACAAAATGGCCAGACAAATAATCAAAAAATCGTCCCCAGGCTATTTTTTTTACTATTTCGGGAGATCCCCCCCTGTAGAGGGACAGGCCCGACTTCAGACTCGGGTGGGCCTGGGGACGCCGTGGCGGAAATGGACGAGGCCCGGTTTCGAAATCCCGCGCGCACCCCCGCTGCAGGACATCCCGCGAACATTAAGTCGGGCCTGTCCCTCTACAGGGGAATATTCAAAAGTAATAAAAATTCAGACCACTCCAGGGGAGGGTATTTTTCGACACCCCTCACGAGGATCGCGGCCTCCGACGGGGGAGCCGCAATCGACTACCCCCAAGAGCCCCCCAAGAGGCCCTGGGGGCCTCCAAAACGCCGCCACGGAGCCCCAAGAGACTCCCAAGAGGTCCCCAAGAGGCCCCCAAGAGGCCCCCAAGAGGCCCTAAAGAGGGCTCCAGGGCCGGCGGCATGAGCGAAGCGATTAAATAAAAATTGTCTGGGGACTATGTTTTTGCATATGTTTTAAACCATTTTGGAATAGTTTCTGTTTTTGTATTGTTCGTCGAAAATCCCCCTGTAGGGGGACACGCCCGACTCCACAAACCTGAGTCCTGTGGAGTCAGAACTCAGAACTCCACGCCCGACACGCCAGACACAAACCTGAGTTCTGGCGCACTTCGGGGGTCTACTGCCCCGGATATCAATCCAAACCCAGGTTCGCTGGGCTTTGCAGGAACCTGCAAGATCCTGCAGGGTCCTGCGCGCAAGCCTGGGTCAGTGCACCCCTGGCCCTGCAGGATCCTGCAAGATCCGGTGCTCTGGCTGACCCACGATTGGATCCCGTCTCAAGGCTCCCCAGTATACTCGAGTCTTACGTTTCCCCAGTAGGCTCTCTGGACCCGGCGCGGGGCTGCCTCCTGCCATTGCCGGCACCATCGCTGGCACACCATGCGATGGGCGGAGCTTGCTGGGCATATTCCGCCCACCCTGGCCGCGTGGAGGCGGCGGTGCCCGCCGACGGAGATGTAGAGCGCAACGCAACCGATCAACAAAAGGGCCCAAACAGATGCCCACCAAAGCAATCGGCTCAGCATGGTGTTCGCTCGCGCGAGTGCCTTTCGCATCGGAGGCCCAGCGAAACGAGATCGCGATGCAGATCCGCAACCCCAGCCAAGCGGGGTGAAGGACGAAGCTGCACATCAGGGGGCCGAAACCAACTAAGGGGCTCAAATCCTGTGGACCAATCAACAAATCGACTGCACGTCTCTAGGCAACACCGACCTTTGATTAGCAGGTTTTCGGGGAGCGCGAGGAAGCCAAACTCAGGCGCGCAAGCCGCTGGTATCGCATCGCAATCGGTGATCGGGGGGCCCAATTGGCCCGCACCAAAGGTCGCTCCAGCGAAGGGTCAGTCACTCTTACGTGTAGTCGAACAACGGAGCTCAAATCCTGCGGACCAACTTTTCGTCGCGGGCTGTTGTTCATTGCACTGGGGCCCGGAACGGACGTCCAGAAAAGGCCACTCTCCTCGTCCTGCCCCAATCTGTTTTGCGCGCCATCCTCTCACCACCTCACCTCTGCTGGTGGCGACCGCCTGAACCCCAGTCCGGCTCCGGCATGGGCACCGCTGGCACCAGCGTCCGGCGACGAGCTTCGACATCCCTGAGTACGTAGTCCGCGATGGCCTTCTTGCCAGCTGCGACGTAACCCTCCACCTCGGTGAGTTCTACCCCCATCTCCTCCTGGTCCTCCTCCAGCCCCTCCTCCTGCTCCTCCTTCTCCTCTTCCTCTTCCTCCTCCTCCTCCTCCTCCTCATCATCATCATCATCATCACCATCCTGCTCCTCCTCCTGCTGCTGTCCACTGACTCGTTCGGGTTTGCAAGGCTGCTCGATGCGCTTGACCCTGCCCTCGTCGCTCTCAGCGAGATCCACTTTGTCAGAGGTGTTACGCTGTTGCTCATCAGTCGGGAGCATCAGGCATGACGCAACAGGCATGGAGCGCAACGCCGACGTCTTCTTCTTCTTCTTCCTCCTGCTGCTCCGCCCCCACCTCCTCGCCATCCCTTCCGCCCCCCCATCGCTCTCCCCCCCTCCTCTCGTAATGGACCCGCCCGGGCGCGCCGGGCGCCTCCGCCCTTCGGTGGCCTCCAGGCGTGCACGGCCCTCTCCCACCCCCAGCGCCAGCAAGAGGAAGCGGAGGGGCAGGAAGAGGAGGGGGAGGGCGAGGGCGAGGATGCGCGGAGGGAGGTGGGGCGAGGGACGGGGAGGAGGAGAGGGGAGGAGGTGGGCAGATCTCTCGCGCGCGCCAGGGGCCCGGCCATCTCCGCGAGCATCTGCCTCAGGATGTCGTCGGTGACCTCCTTGGCCAGGTCGCCGAACTTCTCGATCTCAACGAGGAGGCCAACGTTGTTCACCCAGGCCTGCAAAAGGAGACATGGAAGGAAGAGGGAGAAGAGGAGCACCCCGCACACACACATACACACAAGATACACACGGACACACACACACACACACACACACAGACTCGCACAAACACGCACACACGTACACACGTACACACGCACATGTTGTCAAGAAGCGCGAGAGGTCGCACCGTGGCTCAGGAGGAAAATGCGAGCAGAAAGAGAGGCAGAAGGAGGAGGAGGATAAATCAGAGGAGAAACAGGGGGAGAAGGAGGGGGAAGAGGAGGAGGAGGAGGAGGAGGAGGAGGAGGAAAAAGAGGAGGAGGATGAGAAAAACACAACAGCAGAGCAGCAGGAGCAACCAGTGCAATCGCGGCCACGCCGGCGCTTCAGCGCGCCCCGACCAATCCCGCACCCCTTCCATCCCGCTCCCTCCTCCTCCTCCTCCTCCTCCTCCTCCTCCTTGTTCACCTGCCCTACTTTTCCCCCTCCCCTGGCCCCCCCCCTTCCTCCGACCCTGGTTCCCTTCTCCCCTGGCTCCCCTCTCCCTTCCCTGGCTGTCCTGGAGGGCGAAAAAGAGGGGAGTATGGCAAGGAGCAGGAGGAGAATAATGACGAAGAGAAAAAGACGCACAAGAAGGATGGAGGCGATACTGATGCTGATGAGAATGGGGATGATGATGGGGATGATGATGACGATGATGATGATGAGTATGATGATGACGATAATGATGATAATGATGATGATGATGATGATGATGATGATGATGATGATGATGATGAGTATGATGATGATGATGATTCATGATGATGATGACGATGATGATGAGTATGATGAGTATGATGATGATGATGATGATGATGATGATGATGAGTATGATGATGATGATTCATGATGATGATGACGATGATGATGAGTATGATGAGTATGATGATGATGATGATGATGATGATACTGATGATGATGATGATGATGCTGATGATGATGATGATGATGATGATGATGATGATGATGATGATGATGATGATGAGTATGAGGATGACGAGAATGATGATGATGATGATGATGATGATGATGATGATGATGATGATGATGATGATGATGATGATGATGATGATGGTGATGAGTGTGATGGTACTGAGGAGGAGAGGAGGAAGAGGAAGAGGAAGGGGAGATGACGCAGGAGGAGGAGGCGGAGAGCCACTACCCCAAGAGGCCTCCGCTCCCTTGGTCGATGCCTCCGGCCACCGGGCCGAGCCGTGCCGCAGCGCGCGCGCGGGCCTCCGGTAGTCCTTACGACCCCAGAGGCCTTTACCGCAACGGTCTTTTGCCCTTCATGGTCGTCTGCGTGCTCAGAAGAAGGTCGAGTGCTGCAGGAGCCGAAGATAACTCCATCCTACAAGCCTCGTTGAACACAGACAGAAAACGGCCGAATTCGGCGATCGTGGGGTCAGCGCTACTCCAATGCTGACGGATTCCTGTTGACTCGGACGCGGTGTTGTCCAAAAACCGGCCCCACCCTCCCAGCATTGAAGAACGCGCTTTCTCACAAGTGCCCAGGAGTATCGTGCCCCAGGATTTCAACTTCCATTTTCTGGATATGTTTGACGACGCTTGTAGAACTAACATGCACACAGCCAAGACCACATTGCCTATAACCTCCCTCGGAGCCCAGAGTTGTATTGAGACAAGAGAGGAAGGACTTCACTTCAGGAGCAGCAGCTGGGCAACGCACACAATGTGTTCGAGAATCTCCACCTAGGTTCTTACACCCCCACCTGCAACTCATCCTTCCCGCCGTATACCTCCTACTCGTATTGCACCCGTCGAAGCTAGTCTTCATACCATTATGCGCACATGTGCACGGTAGGTACCATACATCAACAATGAGCTCTATGTGAGTCAGCTGTGCATCTGGTATAGCTGATTGCCCACACCACTCCTCAAGCCGTGGACGAAAAGAGGTGTACTGGAGTCTTGGCCGCATCGCTGTGCAGCATATTGTGCACCTGCGCTTGGAAACATGGGTTCCATGGGTCCGTCGGGACCCTCGGAAGTTTACGAAACAAGAAATACATCCGACGAAGGTGGAAACGCATGGAGTTCTTCAACAGCGGGACCCAAACATGTGTGACGGACGCCTCATCCAGTTCAAGAATAGTCTCATACTCCTCGTACGTCCGTTGAAACAAAAAAACCATTCCCCTGGGAGACGCGATGAGCGGCAGCCTGGCACATCAACTCCAGGGGGAGGACACCCTGAAGCAAATTCGGGGCCTCTTGGGCTCTTCTGAAGCAGCGTCGGGGCCTCTGGGTGCGCCCTGGGGGCTGACTTGGGACCTTCGTGGGGCCTTTCAGATCCGTCTTGGGGGATATCGTGGGAATCGTGGAGGTCTCTCGGGCTGCCTTGGGGCTGTTTTTGGGCCGTCCTGAAGGCCTTCTCGGTGATCATAGCGTGATCTTGGAGGGCTCTTGGGGGATGTCGAGCGTTTTTGAAAGCTTCGGGCACCCTTTCGGGCCGTCGGAAGCCGCGACGAAGGAGATGCCAGAATCCTGAAACAACTTTCGGGGAACGCATGATTTGGACCTTTTTCTGGCCTTGCTGAAGGAGCTCTTGGAAGCTTTTCCGGGGCGTCTGCGAAGGGGTTTGGGATCCTCTTTTCTTGGACTCTTCTGAAGCAATTTCGGGGCCTCTGGGTGCGTCCTGGGGGCGTCTTAAGCAGAGGCTGCTTATGCCTGTTCTGGAAGCGTTCGGGGGCCTCTTTGGACGGTCCCGGGGGATGCCCTGGAGGTCTCCTGCGGGATCTCCGCCGGTGTCCCTGGAGAGGCTGGAATTAGGTGTGCCCTATCTCTGTCGGTTTTCTGCGTCATGCAATAAGGATAAGGATTATATATATATGTGTGTAAGTGCCAATGTACATATATGAATATACACGTGTGTATATTTACAAAAAAAAAAAAAACATGTATCATGTGTGTGAGAACCCAAAATCCACATGACGACGCCCAGAAATCCGTTGCAGCCGAATCTGAAGCCACGCATGTTGGCGCGGGCCTCGCGTTGCAGCTTGAGCGCTCCGTCCCCGATGTTCGAGGCTGCTCTCTGACGCGCCTTCAAGTCCAAAAGTAGGTTTCTGCGCACACGAACTGCATGCGCACGATTATCTCGAGGATCCACCCACTACAACTGACGGTGCGGAAAATCATTCTGGAACTCCCTCGCGGCCACCTCCGTGGTGAAGTCGATAGCGAAGTTCTTCCCACTGCGACAGATCACCACCGTGAGGCTCCTTAACATTCGAGGGAACGTGCGGCTCCATCTGCTGGTCGTAGAACTGGCGGCGCTGCGTGAGCGTGAGTGTGCGCGGGAACGCCTGCTGAACCTCCTTCTGGCCATGTTGATCCCCGAGCTGAGCTGCCTGCCGAAGAAGAGGTTTGATTCTTGAGCTGGGGGATGTCCGACGTGATACCCTCCAGCTTCGTGTCGATCACTGCTTGAACCGCTGCTTGGACCGCGCCCGACTGGGAGGCATCCACCTGTATTAGCCGGTCGCTGACCGCCTTGAGGTTGCCGTCGTGGACGTGCAGCGAGCTGCGCGTGTTGGTGCCCTTGACTTGCTCCATCAGCTCGGAAAAAGCAGCCTGGCGCCCGTTCTGGGGCCCGCCCGTTGTGGCTGCCGATGTGCCTGGAATCCTGGTTTATGTAGTCCGCATCCGATCGGTTCCGATCACGACTGTCGCTGCGGCTGTCCTCGCGCTCCGAGTGTGGCTGGGCTGACGACGAGCTGGGCGTCTCGATGCCGACGGGCTCAGAGTGTCCATGTTCACGTCCCGTGCAGCTCTCCTCGCACCGCGGCCCATCAATGCAGGAATGACAGGGGTGATTCGAATAATGGTGCCGAAAAAATTGACATACTTTGCTTTGGCGCACGTGGGCAAGATCGCAGGAAATCCTGTAAGGCAGGCGGCCTCGACCCAGACCTCACAGCTGCGACCAAGCTCAAGCCGCCGTGGTCCTGCGGTTCGAACTTGAGCCAGCATGGCTACGGCGAGGAGGAGGAGGAACATGAGGAAGAGGAGGAGGATCAAAGGACAGGACGGGACAGGACATCCGCATGCGGGGGTCAACGTCGAAACGCCCGCTGAGGCGCCGTGGGGCACGACTCGCAAAATCCCCCCTGCGAGTAAGATTTGCCGCAGTAGCTTGACCCCTCCCCTGCCCTGTCCCCTGGGTCTGGAGGGGGGGGGCGCGAGCGGCCAGAGCGTCCAAGATGGTCCAAGATTGCTCCAAGATTGCTCCAAGATGGCTCCAGGTAGCCCAAGATGGCAGTCAAGAAGGCACAAGACACCTCAAGATAACCTCCAACAGCCTCCAAGAGGCTCCAAGATCGTCCCAAGTCGGCTCCAAGTGACCACGGAGCCTCCCAAGGACGTCCCGAGAGGCCAAACGCCTTCCAAAGCATGAGAAACATAAGCGAAGTGTACATGTTTGCGTTTTCACTTCCGATGTGCGTTTGGGGAGCCAAGTTGACTCCACCATCGCCAAAGAGAGCCTCAGAAGGAGCCCGAGCGGGTTACGATACGACCGCGAAAGCGCCGACAAGTGCCCCAAGAGCGCCACAAGAAAGCCCGAAGAGGCGATTTGCCTGGCTCCGACGGGGTGGCTGACTTTGAGTTCCCCCTCTACGATCGATTACCTCATAGATGGGCCTCAAGGGCCCCACACAGAGCCCCAAGAGGACCCCTAAGATCCCTCGGAGGGCACCTAAGGCTGCCAAGAAGGCTCCAAGAGGGTCCCAAGGTGGCCCAAGTGAGCGGCAAAGAAGCTCCCATATCGAAAAATACGTTCAAGCCTGTGGTGTTGACTCCTGGGTCTGCTCAGGCAAATCCCGAACTTTGGTGTGACGGCTGAGCTGGTGGATGAATGACCTCGACCTGGATCGAATCGGCAGCTCGGCTCAACTCAGTGATTTCGCTTGCCAGCCCTGGGTACGGGCGTCTGTTCACAATGGGCACACGGAATGCTTGGTATTGGGGGCCGCTGCCACTGGTTATGCGTGCCGCTGGCATCTGGTATTGGTGGCCGCTGGCATTGCATTGGGCATTGGCTGCTGAATCCTTCCTGCCCGCTTGCATGTTTAGCCAAAGCGCATACGGACGGACGAGGATGAAAGGGAGAAGAGAGGACGCGGAAGAAGAAGAAGAAGGAATATGTGAGAGGGTGGTGGGGGGGGGAATGGAGGACGACGAAGAGGAGGATGAGGATGTGAACGACCCCCTCAACTCACAACTGATTATCTCGCTCGGACTACCTGGCATCTGCATGCCCAACGCTGGCAGCGCCCATCTCCTGCTAAAGATCGTGCTGCCTGGCTAATGGGCGCCACCACGCTGTCGCTGATGCCGCTTGACGTGTAGTAGTTGTAGCGGGACCTGGCTTGATGGATCGACTCTCCAGCAAGAACGAGCGTAACGAGGCCGGTTGGGGCGGAGACAGGACGAGGTGCCTGCTCTTTGACCTCTCTTGGGAAGTATACTCTCACCTCCCCCGCTGGAGGCTGGAGGCAACGCTCTCGCTTATCCTCAACGCCGTGCTTCGGCTGGAGGCAACGCTCTCGTTTATCCTCCACCGGCGCTCGCCGAAAAAGCGAGACATCGCCGAGGGGGCGACCCCGCAAACGGCGCGAGCGCCCGAGGGATTCTGGCCCGCTGCTGTCCCCGAGGCCCGCGACTGGCATGCGGACCCCGGGGCCGGGAAGCAGGCCTCAACCCGTGGTCCTTCCTGGCATAATTTTGGACGCCCGAAATGGGTACCGGAAAAATGGGTACTATGCCCAACAGCAAATGTTGTCCCAAACCAACAGCGGCCGCTGTTGGGCGGGCCTCCTGTCTCGAATGGACACAGGCTGCGGCGGCGCGGACAGCGAGTCCTGTTCAGAATGAACAGGAACTGCTGTTGGGCATTGTACCCATTCCTTCGGTGCCCATGTCGGGCGTCCAGAATACTGCGGGATGACGATTAATAAAAAAAATGGGGGGGGGGAACGATTAAACAAATAGTTTCCTGCTATTTCTGCACCAGTTTCTCACTGGAGGAGAACGAGTTAAAACATAGTTTTCCAGCCCGCGGCCGGTTTTGTCTTATCGTCATCCCGGGCGCCGCCGCGTGAACACGACCCCCGGTCATTTATGAATCGTCATCCTGCATTAAGGTCGGGCATGTCCTCCTACAGGCGGATTCTGGAGGACGACTAAAACAGAATCGAAACGTGTCCACACAGAGCTAGAAATCATCGAAACATAGTTCCCAGACTATGTTTGGACTCTCTTGGAATATTCCTCCGGTAGTAGGATATGCCCGAGTTAAACCTGGCACCCGTGGCCAGGCTGCGGCCGTGCTGTCGACTGAGACGCGCACGGGCGCGCGGAACTCATTCTGCGACGTCGGCGGCGCCCGGAAGGGCGACGACTAGCAGGGACTGCGAGGGCGTCCAGCCCCTTCCTCCTCCCCCTTCTTCTTCTTCTCCTCCGTCTCCTCCTCCTCCTCCTCCACTTCCTTATCCTCTTTTCTTTCCTCCTCCTCCTCCTCCTCCTCCTCCTCCTCCTCAGGGCCCCCGATCTGGTCGAGATCGGTGCGTCCCCACCCCCCGAGGCCGATCCCAGCATCCCGAAGATGATGGCGCCCGACCGAGGACTCCGCGGGCGCGCCTGCATAGGGGGGGGGATGGATGGGGGAGGGGGAGATGCGAGGCCGCATTGAGGCGGCGATTGGCTTCCTCGGAGAGGAGAAGCGCGGATACAGTCGTCCTCGCCCGGCGTGCGCCAACGTGTCCGAGCCAGCGTCCACGAACGGAGGGCGGCCCGCACCCACGGAACTCGGCCTGGAGGGCGTCGCAGCCATAAACAGGAGTGCCATAGGCTAGCCTTGGCGAGAACTGTAGCACCATAAGAAAATTTGAAGGGGCCCCATGACACACAAATAAATACACACAAATAAAAATACTTGCCATATTTTCGCATATTTTTGGTGTTTTCGTCTTCCCCCCCACTTCCCGCCGGCCCAGCGGGCCAGGGCGTGCTAAGATCTCCGGTACCTGGTTAACAGTATTTCTAATTCGCGCGCGCGGGGCGGCCCCTGGGGGTCCCCGGACGAAAAGTACCCCGGCAAGGTCCCGGCAAGGTCGGGCCAGAGATGCCGGAGCCCTGTTACAGGGCCCCAGGACGGGCCAAGAGGTCCCCAAGAAGCCTCCAAGACGGTCCAAGAGGGCCCCGAGACGGCCAAAGATCGCCCGAAGACGCCCAACAGGGCCCCAAGACAGCCCAAGAGGCCTCCAAGACGCCCCAAGGGCCTTCCAAGAGGCCTCCGAAGAGGGCCCCAAGAGGCCAAAATCGTTGATTTTCATTGTTTTTTTCTATGTTTTTTGCGTTCTGGCTTTTTCGGCTTCCGGACGCTCCAAGACGGCCCAAGAGGCCCCCAAGACCGCTCCAAGACGGCCCACGAGGCTCCCAAGACGGCCCCGGAACGGCCCAGGAGGGCCCCCAAGACGGCCCAAGTGCCGCCCAAGACGGACCAAGAGGCCCCAAGACGGGCCCAAGAGGGGCTCAAGAGGGGAACCGAGAACTGAAAAATCGAGCCCTCCGCCTCAGAAGGCGCCCAGGAGGCCCCAAAAAGGCCCCAAGAGGCCCCCAAGAGGCCCCCAAGACGCCCCAAGAGGCGCCCAAGAGGCCCAAAAGAGGCCCCCAAGAGGCCCCAAAACGGCCCCCAAGAGGCCCCCAAACTCGGCTAGCCCACAACGGTGCGACAATATGGGCCGGCGGAATGAGCGAAGCGATTAAATAAAAATACTTGTCATATTTTCCCATATTTTTTGTGTTTTCGTCTTCCCCCCCACTTCCCATAGTTTCCCATATTTTCTGGGGAATCGACGGTTAATTGTGTCTGTGTGTTTCTTTCCCTCCTGAAAATTGCCCGACAAAGAAAAGGGCATTGCAACATGTCTGGCCGAAACAACCAGGATCCGCCTACGAGGGCAACCTTCGTTCAACAAACTTCGCGAGAACTCCCTCGCGAGACTGTCGCATCAGAAACGTTGGGGGGGAAACTGAAGCAAACCGGAGTCGACAAACTGGAAATCGGTTACGGATTCATACTCGTGTCGTGCGCGCGGGCGAGGCGAAAAAGCGAAAGTTCCTGCACTAGCTTTAAACCCGCGGGCGCCAAGTGGTCCGAGACAGTCAAGCGCGGGTCAGCAAGCGGCGGGATGCACGGGAGGCAAATTGAGGCACGATAGCGGAAATACGACGAGGGAGGCCGCTCGGATCATGGAAACGATCCCCAGGCGCCAGGGCGTGATCGGGATTGTCCCGCGGTCGTCCCGATCGCTGCCCCTATGGTTGCATCGCTGGTTGCTCCGATGGCTGTCCCAGTTGCTGTCCCGATTGCTGTCCTGATTGTGGTCCCAATGAATGTCCCAATGGTTGTCCTGGTAGTTGATCCAATCGCTGTCCTGATGGCTGTCGTGATGGTTGCCCTGACGGTTGTCGCGATGGTTGTCCCGATGGTTGTCCCGAAAAACGATCCGATGGATGTCTCAATGGTTATCACGCGGTTGCTTCGTGGTTATCCCGTGAGTATCCCGTGATTGTCCAATGGTTGTCCCCAAAATGTCTCGTTGGTATCTTGTGGTTGTTCGACGGGCAACTGTACCAAAGAACTCCCGTGGTTACCCGTGGTTGTCCCGCGAAGTCATCCCGTGGTTGTTTCGCGGTTGCTCCTCGGTTGCCCCGTACTTGTCCTGTGGCTGTCCCGAAATCGTCCTGTGGTTCGATTGTTGTCACGACATTGTTCCGTGGTTGCCCTGTGGTTGTCCCGCGACTGTCCCGTGGTTGTCCAACCGTTGCCCCATCGTTGTTCCGTGATTGTTCCGTGATTGTTCCGTGTTTCTCCCGTGGTTTTCCTGTGGCGGTTCCTTGGTAGTCCGTGGTTTTCCCGTGGTTGTCCCATGGTTGTGCCGAGGTTGTCCCGTGGCTGTCCTGTGGTTGTTATGCGGTTGTCCCTTGGTTGTCACGTGGGTGCTCCCTGTTTGTCCTGTACAATTCCCACTGATGCCCCATCGATGTCGAGAATAACGGAATGAGACCGATATATCGTGATATCAATACATTGTTAGTGAGACAAGTAGATGTGCTTGAAAGGAGGATTGGTGGATATGCCGTGAGGTCGGTAAAAGGTCTTACCTACATGTGCGCATATGCGCACATATGGATAGGCATCCCGATAATTTGAAATACTGGTAAGTAGTGCAACCGATCGATGAACAATCATATATAATGATAAATAGCGAAGTTGTTAGATACATCAGAGTGAGGGGGCCGAACGGTCATTCATTGTCCCTGGGTGCGTGGCTGAAATGCGGATCCGTGGTGAGGATTTTGCTTGTTGTTGTTGTTGTTATCGTCGTCCCCCCCACGACCCGGCCCGCGACCCACCCACGACCCGCCTCGCGACCCACCCGCGACCCACCCGCGACCCACCCGCGACCCACCCGCGACCCACCCGCGACCCGGCCCGCGACCCACCCGCGACCTACCGTCGATCCACCAGCGACCCACCTGCGACCCAACCTGCGACCCACCTAACAAAAATCTGCGCCTGCGGCGGGCTCGTTGTATAGCTTGAAAACTGTTGCGCCTGCGGCGGGCTTCTTCAAAACCTCGCAGACTGCCGACGTCCCCGCCGCCCCCTCACTCTTATCCGCAACGGCTGGGTGCTACGTAAACTGCGAACCCTGTACGACGCCAATCGCAAACAGAAACCTGCACCAATACACCCCAACCTCCTTATCACCCGAAGGGTGGTCACATAGGTATTGACTGTTCTGCTCCCCATTGCCTCGCCAAGTCTTGGATGCAGTACCATTCATTAGCATCACGCTAACTTCGATACTCCACTTGCTAGGTGCGGACTACTTCCGTCAAGTTGTGGGCACGACCTGCGAGTCGCACGATGAGGTCCACTGGAACATTGAGTCATTCAAGCTCTGCTGCAGGAGCCAGCTAAAAACAAGTAGCTGTCGCGGAGGTCGACGGAAATATCGAATGGTGCTCCCTTTGCCATGCTTAATTGCGCCCCGCGTCCATTGGCAGACCGCTGGTCTCTCCTGTGCTGGCTTCAAACCAAACGAACCATTGGCGACGTACCCCCTCCCGGGACGTCCTCCACCTCGGTGACATCTGGATTGCGCTCCCGGTACAGCGCTTCCCGGCCTCCCGGGGAGCCCCCCAAACGCCCCAAAACAGCCCAAGACGACCCCAAGAAGCCCCCAGAGCGTAAAATAACGGCCCAAGACGCTCTCAAGCAACTAAGACAGCTTTCGGGCGGCTCTCCAGGCTCCCAGGAGGCCTCCAAGCGACCTCAAGAGAGCTCCGAGAGG